AATTGTTAGCGTAATATCGCTATCGCTCTTAACGATGCGTTTATTATTTAATAAAATATTACAAAAAAAAGATTGCACATAAAATTAGTTCATAATGAGTGAGAGATCTTACTTCAGGTATGCTGAGGCATAAAGAAGTTTCGCGATGATATTTTCGATTATTTGGCCTCGATTAGAGTCGAATATCATATGAAATTCATCCACTACAACGACACCTGAAAGTAATTTTTCATTTTGAACAGCAAGTATCTTGATCCCAGAATTTTATCCAATTAATAATACGTTTCACTTAGCTGAAATTATTCCTCCTCTTTGAAAATCTAAAATTTTCTGATGAATTTTAACACTTCGTTACAGAAATACAAAACGTGATGAAATTAATCACTGAAGAGTTCATGATATTGTGTTATCATTACAAAATTGTTATTCCATTTTTTTGCATTAGTAAGAGATTACTAAATAAATGGATATGAGTAATTGTCCGTTGTGTTGTGCTTAAACGAGGACCCAGAACATTCATATTAATGTATACGAATAACTTTTTGGTAGCGAAAGTTTACGTGAAGCTCAATTCATTACTTGAATCCTAATGAAAATTAATGTTTCGAAAACGGTTGAAGTTGAAATTCAGTTCACACCGATGCTTTCAAGGGCGCCTTCATCAGCAGCACGATTCAGTAGAGAATTCGCTTTTTCAATCGTACACACACACGCATCCCACGAATCTGTTGGTGCTGTGGTGGCACCCATTTGTGCACGAACACGAAGGTTTATACTACGCCATAGTTTCTGGAAGTTGATACGAATATTCACTGAATCTACGACGTTGTTGGATCATTTGCCAAAGTAAGGTTCAAGAGTGGAAATGCTTTGGTGAGATGTAGATGATTACTTGAGATTAAGAAGTGCAGGAAAAATGGAACTCGATAATGGTGTTTCACTGCTGATTAAATCAAAGATTTCTCACTCCAGTGTTCCCATACAAAATTGCATAATCATTAGTCGGTTGCAATAATCACTTCAGTACAATGTTCGATACTACTGAGATGTAATTCAACAAATGCACAATCGGAACTTGAAATGAAACCAAATAGATATTTTTAGCCAAAATTGTAATATGCATCATATCTGTGTAATGTGTAGGTAATTTCATACACAAATTGACGGAATAATAAAGCAACAACAACTTATTATCGTATTGTCGTAATGTGCTATTGTAAATATGCGATTTTACTTAATGCGTCAAATGAACTAGTTTTTATGCTTTCATTCAGTCCATATACAAATGCATATGACTCATACTTTCGATTAGAACGAAGTAAATACCTCAAAATAGATAAATCCCAACTGCTTCAATCATTTGCATCATGAAGCTTCAGTGTGATTAGACTACACTAAACTCTCAGACCCTTTTGCCGATTCCAGCTTTCTTTCCTGATCACCAGTTCTTTGCATAATCATAAATTCACCTTTTCTGCAGTTTTGAATTAAAG